ATTCTTGGTGTAACCTTTTGCAAATCCTGTTTCTCTGCATACTCAATTATGTTCTTGTGAATTTCCAAAAAAGAGAGCGGTTCACCCATTTCAATCACCACCCCCTGTGGCTTAAATGCATGTCCCCACCCCCAAAGTTGCTTCTCTTTTGCATTAGATGAGTCAGCCCTGGTGTCCCGCAGACCCCTGAGCTCCCCAGCCGTTCCCAGTGGTGCTCTTCTACCTGCTTCCAGGAATGCCCAAGGCTGGGTTTTTAGGAAGAGCTGTCTTGCAGCTTCCTTAGATAAGAGGTGAACGCTGTCCTGGCTCAGGTCAAATGAGGAGTGCAGGCTGTCCCTCCCTCCCTGGAAGCCGCCTGCTCTCTGTCTCAGGGTGGAGGAAGGGGACGGGGAAGGAGATGGCTGGCAAGATGTCAGTTCAGGGGTTTGGGCCTCTGGGGTGATGCTGGGAGGTTTTCAGGGGGTTCTGAGCTCTGAGTAGGAAAAGGATTCCCAATGTTCCACCAGGCATCCCCACCCCCCTGCCGCTGGCCAGCGGCCATCCTGGTTTCCCATGGCCCCCACTGGCTTCCGGGCAGGACTTGGGGAGGTGCAGCCTTCTTCCCCGAGCTGGTCAACAGGGGCACAAAACTGACCGTGGGTGAGTGAGATGGGGGTTGGGCGTGGGACCCCACCCTGTGGCACCGATCATTATCTGGGGGACTGTGTGCGTCCTTAGGAGTCGTCCTGCGGGGTCTCTGCAGCCTCTGAAACAGCCTTTGCTGTTTTCAACTTTCCTTTCTATTTTGATAGCACCTTCATGTTCTCTGTCCCTCCCTATCATCGCATTTTCACACTTGAGTGGATTCTTTGCAAACCTAGAGTTACGGTTTCCCCTTTCCTTGTTTATCCTTTCACAGCGTCTCCTATGCAAAGCCTCTCACCGTCCATCTCTGGGGTTGGCCTCTGGGCGCCATGTTGAAGAGGCTGCTTTCCACCAGGCCTGGGCTCGGTGGGGCGGGGAGGACTGGGGATGTCTGCCACGGTGGGACCAAAGGGTGGATCATCCTGTGGATCTCGAGCCCCAAGTCCATACTGCAGCCTCCCTGGCTTTCCCCCCTGGAGAGGAACACAGCGATGGTTTCCCGTGGAGACCAGTGGAGACCTGGCTGAGGAACAGGCACAGGAGCGAAGATGGCCACTCTCCCAGGACAGTCCCGCTGCGGCCCCAGGGAAGGGAGTCAGCACCTGCGCTCCTGCAGGGCTGCAGTCCGTCCTGCCAGTCCATGAGAAGTCTTGAAGGCAGAATCAGTTCTGGCTTTTTGACCGGGGACAGCCAGGCTTTGGTCATGAAACCACTTCCAAGCCCTGCTCCTCCGCACCAGTGACCCGTCCCCTGAGCATGTACGAGGTGTTGGTGAGCTGCATAAAATCATCCACAGAAAAGCCACCATTCTGGGGAGGGTGCTGATAAATGCCTACTTAGCTAATAAATTCCGCTTATTTAACAGGTGAGTTGATTTAAAGGAAACTGCAAGGAGGTGACATTGCAGGTAGGATGCAGGCTTTTGGTCCCCAGTTAGGAATGAGGACCTGGATGGAGAGAGGAAGCCGCCTGCCCCAGACAGCGCAGCTGGTAAACCCAAGAAGCATCTCGAAAGCCCTCGAAGGTGCCCTCCTGGGTCAAGTTCTGTACCAAGTGATGGATGCAGCTGTGCTTTCCCCGCTCTGGGAGTTTGTCACAAAGACAGATGGGGCACAGCTTCACTGGAACGAGGCTCGGGCACGCAGGTGGCTCTCCTGCAGATGCCGTGTGGAAGCGTCACCAGAATTACAGGATACTCACCATGAGGGGGATGCGTTTCGGAGTCTGGCAGATCTGGGTCAGCTTCCCGGACCTAGTTTTCTTTTTTTTTTTTTTCCTTTTTCTAATTGGCATTCTCGGTCAAGTTGTACAAACACAATGAGCTTCAAACTCCTCATCAGGAGCCAGGTGTGGTGGCGCACCCCTGTAATCCCAGGGGCTCCAGAGGCTGAAGAAGGAGGATCACAAGTTCAAAGCCAGCTTCTGCAATTAGGCAAGGCTCTCAGCAAGTTAGCTAGACCCTGTCTCTCAATAAAATAAAATTAAAAGGGCTGGGGATGTGGCCCACTGGTTAATCACCCCTGGGTTCACTCAGAGGTACAAAATAAAGTTCCTGATCAGGAAAAGGGGGACATGGTCTGGTACCTGGGTGCAGAGATTTGCCATGAGGATTCAAGAGACTGGCACGTGAACCTCTTGGCAAGAGCCAGGTCCAAGGAAGCTCTCAGGAAGCGGTGTGGTCACTGTGTACAAATGTGGGGATCCGTCTTTCTGGTGATAGAAAGGCGAGTAGGGGCTCAACAGGCAGGCAAGGGAGGGCCAAGGTCAAGGTCAAGAGGGTTATCCCTTCTCTGGAACAGCTAGGACTTATTGAGTGCTCACTCTGTGTCAGACATGGAAAGCACTTCTTTATGCCTCAAATGATCTAATATTACAATGTCTAACACAGACCGTCCCAGACTTATGGTGGTCTGCCTTACTGTAATTTTTGATTTAATGAGACGCACTGTAGAAACTATGCACTGAGTCTGGATATTACCTGGGCCCATGATATGCTGGTCAGTGGCAGTGACCACTGCTCCCAGTCAGCCCTGGGACAATGAGGGAAAACTGTGATGCTCTGCAGGGTGCTGGGCATTGGGCAGGTAGCGGGGACTAGTGCATTTTTGCTGTAATATTTAAAACATTTGCCTGGACAAATCATATCATAAGCCAAGGAGCCTCTGTATTAAATGTCTTGCACTTAATCTTACAAATAAGTAGGTACGGTTTCCTCCCCTTCTAGATGAGGAAGACTGAGGTCCGTGTGGTAGGCAGGGGCATCAAGCACCGCCTCCACCTCTCCTGTTCTCTGACACCTGCTCTGTCAGAGCTGAGCAAGGCCAGTCCATTGAATTTTTTTTTTGGTCCTGGGGATTGAACCCAGGGGCGCCTGACCACTGAGCCACACCCCCAGCCCTTTTTATTTTTTATTTTGAGACGAGGTCTCTACTGAGCTGCTTGGGGCCTCGCTAAGTTGCTGAGGCTGACTTTGAACTCCTGGATGCAGGTGTGTGCCCCGCGCCTGGCCGGCCCATCGGGTTCCAACACCTGCCTTTCTCCGCACTTCCCGGATCTCGCTTGCGGAGGTTTGACGCGTTGCATTCACTTCTCAAGGACCTGGTGAGAGAGAGACCACTAACATCCCACTTTACAGATGGGAACGCCCAAGCCGGGAGGCGTTGAGGGGGTCAGCGAGAGTTTTTTGGATCCAGGATTCAAAAACAACCGAGGACACTCTAGAGCCCCTTGGGCCACCTGCTCCTTCACATGGCTCTGCCATCAGCTCCGGGAGTGGACCCCGAGTGGAGAGCGTCCATTTTTTCGTTACCAGTCCCTCTCGGCTGGCACACAGGGGCATGAGGGCTGTCACCTGGCTTTCGAGAACCCCTGGGAATAAAGGGGGGAGGGGCCGGAAAGACCCCAGGAGCAGCTCACGGCTCCCCTGAGGTCCCGGGCCATCGCTGCAGTGGCCCTTGAGTGGCAGATGCGGCTGACCACCTCCCGGCCCGTCCATCCCGGGCTCGGCTTCTGCCCAGGCGGCCCCGCTGCTGACTTCCCGCTGGCCGCTGCCGTGGGCACAGAGAGGATGCTCATTTGTTTTTGCTGTTTTGCGGGCCCAGGGTGATGGTCACTGGGTGCCAGGGAACCGACAGGAAGTCAGAGGCTTCCGGGCTCTTCATCTGGAGTTCACTGGGGTGTCAGAGGCTAATTGTGGCTCTGCCTGGGTTGTCGCTGTTTGATTAAACATCCCGAGCCGAGTGCCATCCCTCCAGTGGCTGCCAGGGGTGGGTATTTTTAGCCGCGGGCAAATGGCTTATCAATTGTGCATACAAAATGCAGCCAACGGAAAGCCATCATTTTCTGTGACCCTGCCTTGTTCTCCCATGCAGGCAAGGACAAAGGAAGAATTAAACACCACTGGCATTCGTGTATTCACTCAACAAACGCTCCCAGAGCCGCCACCCGCCCCAGGCACAGTGCGCAAGCGCAGAGCGCCCCGTCTAAGCACCGCTTACACTGGATTCTGACCCGGGAGAATTGTGCTCTGCTAGTTGCCAGCTCTGTGGCCCTGGGCGAGTCCCTCGCGTCATTGTAGCACGTGCTGAGCCCAAAGGCCAGGCAGCAGGTGGGGCCCAGGAGGGACAGGCGGGGACCCAAGCCCACAGCAGGGTCCTGGGAAGGCCGGTGCAGTGGGAGCAATCCTTGGCCCTTGGCGGAGGCCATCTTCCCAGCCCTAGGGCCTCTCTTCTCAGGGGCCACTTCCTAGGGACCACGGGCTGCCCTCCAGCTTCGGCCGTTTAACTGGAGGCTTCTTGGGCCCTTGACTTCACGTCCCCAGCTGCTCTGTAGCATCAGGGCTGCCTCAGCGTGGAGGGAAAGGCAGTGTCCTGCGGTCAGTGAGAACATGACCTGCTCTATGCAGCGGTTCCAGAGAGCATGTCGCAGTTCATCTACTCACTTGGGACGACTGTCATCATGACCCGCCTCTGGTGATTCAGAAGGGTCTCCCAGCATCACCTCAGAAAGGGACGAGGCGAGAGTTCGGGGGCTCCTACCTGCCTCGGCCGCTTTCTAGCTGTGGGACCCTGGGCAATTTACTCCACCTCTCTGTGCCTCCATTTTGCTCATCTTTGAAAAGGATGACTCTATGGCACCTATCACAGGATCCTGTGAGGGTTAAATGAATTCACGCGAGGACAGCGCCTCATCCTGCAGACACAAGTTCTGAAAGGCAGGAAGGACGTTGGCCTTGCCGATAATCTTTAGTATATCCCCAATCTCTTATCAGATTCTGGCATTGAGTAGATGTTCAGTAAATACCCGTTGAATGAACAACCACGAGTGTAGATCAGTACCGCATCGGGACGTGTGGCAGTTCTGGTTGATACGTCTGAATGGCCTGGAACATAACTGCAGAAGGTGAACCAGGTGATGTCACAAAGGTCATTGGAAATTAATTTGGTGTCAGTGCATGAGAGAGACCATCAGTTCCTTGAGAAGAGGTTCTGTGACAGAATCTTCCTTGTGACCCTGGTTCAGTTCAGCATGAATTAGGGACGTCCATCCCAGTGCCAGGGCCCGGTTTAGGCTCCTGGAGTACGAGATCCATTTCTTGGGCCCCAGGTGCTCAGAACTTACCACCCTCAGCTCCCTCTGTGTCCCTGTGCTGGGACCTGCAGGCTGACGTGGTGACACAGGTGGGTAGCATAATGGCCCCATGTCCAGGGGGATCGCTGTCTCCTTCTACTTGGAACCACAGCCCGCGGTGGCCACGTCTTCCAGGGCTTCAGGAGAGGCTTGCAACTGCACACGCGCGCACACACACACACACACACACACACACACACACACACACACGGTGTGCCCCTGGGTCACTGGGTTGAGACCTCTGCTCCATAGGACAAAATGCCAAGGTCCTCTCTGCCCACGCCTCCCGCTCCCTTCCGCACCCCAGGCACCTGGCAGAGCCCCTTAGGAGCCACCGCCTGAGCACAGGGTGTGACGGTGGGACACAGCACTGTGGGGCTCTTCCCTCTGCCTGGGTCCCTCCCCGGGCCCTTGCTTCTCGCCTGGCAGAAGAGCCACAGCTGCTCAGGGGCCCCTGATGGCGGAAGGCCCTGCGCCAGGGGAGCGCTTCCCTTCAGGACCCACCTGGAAACCCTCTTGGAGGAAGGGGCGGGCTGCAGCGTGGCCAGGAGCAGGGGCCAGTCAAGTGACTGGAGGGGGCAGAGGGCAGCAGCCAGGAGGTGAGAGAGGGTGGGAGTCTGGCCTGGGATGGAAATCACAGACGGGGACCGGGTCCTGGGTGGCGGACGTGGCTTTTGCCCTATTCACACGCCAGCTGTCTCGGGTCCAGTCGAGGATGGGAGTTTCTTTTGCTGCCCAGAAGGGAAGGCCACGCTGACTCCACACTGTCCCTCGGGGCTGCCCTCACCAGGACGTCTCGGCCAGGCTTGTCCCACAGATGTCATCTGCTCCTGCCAGGAAGGACAGTCCGGAGGGGCCTGGCTGGACAGGAGGCCGGGCAGGGCGTTCAGGAGCTGGGTGGTCCAGAGGCGGGGGGAGTCGGGGGGCCTTCAGAGGGAAGGGGCTTATTATTTGGACCAGACCAGAGACATCCCGAAGGGAGGCGGGGTGGGGGTGGGAATGCAGAGCAGAGGCCCCTGCCATCCCCCAGAGCCTGGCAAACACGGCTGGGGGTGGCGGCTTCCGCATCAGTGGCATTTGACAAGAGGGCGCGGGGACGCGAGAGGTGGCATCGTCCCACGGCGTGTGTGCCTCCCTCCCGTCTAGGGTTAGCCGGGGGAAGGATCCAGGGATCTGGATGTTCCAGAACAGGAGAAAATTCCCTGGTGCGCAAGGCCCCTCGGCGCCCTCCAAGGCCACCCTCCCGCGAAGGCGAACGTTCTGTTCGTCCCTGGGACCTGCTTCTGGAGACTCGGTGGGAGTGACGGCATCCGTGCTGGGAGACGGGGTTGGACGGGGAACAGGCCCTGCCCAGAGGACAATGTCTAATCACCCAGGGCCTCAGGAAGCAATTTTCTGAGGTTGGAGAAATTGTTATTTTGTGCCTCCAGCCTGAGCATTGAGCCGAATGACATGTGGGTCAAGGAGGCGTAATTATATGGAAATGGTTTATGTTTGGGAAATTCGAAAGCTTCCCTCCCCCCCCTGCACCCTGGGAAGAGGCAGAGGGAAAGCCGCTTTGGATCTTCCCAGGTGGAGCTGAGCAGGTGGATTGCTTCCTCGGGACTTTGGAGGGATTGGCCTCTTTTCTGGCCTCAGGACACACACCTGAGTGACACAGAGAAAAGAACACAGTGCTTGTCTGGCTCCGTGGGAGTGAGTGTGGGTGCTGGATTCAGGTCTCATCCATAGTTGTGTGTGCTGCATTTTGTTCCTTAAGATTCACACATCGGAAGCTTGATCCCCAATGCAAACGTATTGAAAGGTGGTGGGACCTTTAAGAGGCGGGGCCTAGTGGGCGGGGCCTAGTAAGTGGTAATTAAGTCATAGCTGCTCTTGTGAAGGGACTCTTGTTCTTCTGATTTCCTGTCTTACAGAGTGAACTCTCTTCCTCCCAGTGCAGCTATTCTCCTTCTTCCTCTTTGCTGTGTTGTAAGATAGCCAGGGGGCCCTTGCGATGCTGGCACCATGTTGTTTGAACTACCCAGAATCTTGAGCTCAATGAACCTCTTTTCTTTACCTATCATCCAGCCTCAGTTATTTTGTTATAGCAACACAAAATGGAGTAAGATGTGACCTTGGACAAATTACTGAAATTTCTGTGCCTTTGTTTCCACAAAGGGAACAAATGGGACAGAGAACAGAACCTGCTTCGTGGGATCGGGTGAGGACTGAAATACCTTCATGAATCGCAAGCGCTTAGAGGAGTTTGGGGTGTGTAGTGGGCACCACTAGAATTTTGGCCTGTCTCAGGTCTCCTGCCTATTCCCTTCACCCCTGCCACCCACCGTACGTAGACGGAAAGAAACCCCCGTAATTGAAGCCCCCCAATCCTCCAGCTGTCAGTCTTTGCCTGCCCAGTTCCCCTGCCTGCGTGCTTCCCTGTTCATTCTGTCTGGAGGACTCTTGTCTGTCCTTCATGAACCAGCGGTGACACGCTGACGTCCCCACCCTCTGCTCTCACCCTGCCTGTGACAAAACCAATTGACTTCCCTTTTTCCCTTTGAGCAGAAATACCATTTCCAAGACAGGGCAGGAAGAGTCCCAGGAAAAACCCACACCCCTCCTCCAGCAGTTCAAGACATGATAAACCGACTCCCCGTAGCTGGGGTCCGCAGCGACAAACGGCTCCGTACCTTTTCCTGCCGTCAGGGAAGTGGCCTTGATCATAGGAAGGCTTCCCGTGAGCTGACTTTCAGTGTAGGCTGGGAATGGCCGTGAACATCTGATACCTGATGACCACCGCTGTCCTCCTTACTTCAGAGGTGAGTCTCATTAGACCTTTCTGTACAGGAGGGATTTTTTATTTTTTTTGGTGGTGCTGGGGACTGAACCCAGGGTCTGGTGCATGCCAGGCAGTTGCTCCACCCCCAGGCCTAGAGCTGGGGATGAGTGGTGGGGACTTGCCCAAGGTCACATAGCTAGTAAGTTGCAGACCCAGGATTCGAACCCAGGTCCATCCAGCTGCCATGGATCAGTTGCTATTTTTTTTCTTTCCTTAAAGACGGGAGAAGCCCTTGGGACCAGCAGTTCCACCGATGCCTAAATCGGTTGTGGGACAAGAGTTATGTCCACTGGTCTGAGAGGCGGCCCCAGTTCCCTACTCCAGGTATCTGGAGCCCCCCCACCCCCCAGGAAACAAATGCCCTTCCCTCTTGCCTTGAGTTTCCTGGATGGGCAGGGGGCTCTTCGTAGAGCCAGGACAGGATGGGCTCCTTTCTAGCATCCCAGGGGCAGCCATAAGTGCACGGTCAGGCAAGCGTGAGAGCCCGCTGCGTTGGCAGAATTGGGAAAGAGCAGGCTTGGCTGGCGCTGGGCCGCAGGGAAATGAAGGATGAGACTCAGGATCCAGCGCGATAACCTCGGTGAAATTGCTTTGCAAACTCCCAAGGTTGTTGTGGGGACCAGACGAGATAACGCACGTGAGGCGGCGTTGCCAACCGGAAGAGCGTTGGGCAAATGTTAATTATCACGACACGTTTCCGAGGTAGCCTGATGGGTATCGGAAACGAGTGAGCAGCGAATTAAAATCTCTGCTAATTTCTCCCGGATCCACATTCTCAAGAGCATTCATACATGAAGAATCCTAATTCCATTGCTCTCATCTCCCTTTTTTGTCTAGATAAGTATAATAGATTTCAGGAGCTAATACAGATTCTGCTGGTTTCCTGGTCGTTATTGATTATGCAATCAGGTTTTGAGATTTGGAGTCATGTTTTGCTGCTGCCTGTAAAGACCACGTCCCGCTGATTCTTTACCAGAACACCTCCCGGAGGCACCCTGCCTTGTCTCTTTCCTTGGTTGTCCTGACACTGGTGACCTTGAGAGGTCAAGTCTGGGTCCGGCTGCTAGAGGGCCACATTCTTAGCCCCTAGCATTGGATCCTGCACACATGGAACTCGGTGGGTGATTTTTTTTTTAACATCCAGGACTAAATGTCATCATAACACGTCCCAGTTGCTGTGCTTTGACTGATTTGCTCCCAAAGTCATTCCGTGTTTGCTTAAAAACTCAATCCACATCCCCCATTCTACTAAAAGACTGTTGGTAAAAACCCATTTTTAACTACCAACAATTACTAATGCTACAAACAAAGAATCCAAACCCCAAACCCGCAGGTTAGCCAGCGTCATAAGTCAGGAAACTCAAATAAGAGGTGTCACTATCGCAGAAGCTGCGGTTGCTACTGTGATCATTATTTTTGCAGATGATACAAATGCATGCTTACAAACTCAGGAGAATGAGCTGGGAAAAGTCATTTGAGACAGCAGGAGAGCTCTCAAGAGGAGCACAGCCCAGTGCCTCAGCCCAGTGTACGGCTGATTAGAAAACGGAACAGGAAGACGATTCCACGCACAACCTTCTGTCTGCTCCCCCTCAGGGCAGGCTGTCCTTGGAGCAAAGTGGGGGACAATGGCCTTCTTCCCGACTCCAGGCTCTGCTTTGTGTCCTGGTCCCTCAGGCAGCTCTGCCGTGCTCAGGGTCTCACAAAGTCGCCCACAAATCTACTGTCAGTTTCTGGCTCTTATTAGTACAAAATTAAAAAAAAAAAAAAAGTCTCCGACCTCCATATGTCTGATGTGGGAATTAGATGCCCTCCTCATGACCGACCTCAGTCCCCTCTCAGAGAAAACTACTTGGTCTGCAAAGAAGATAACCCCCATCTCCACATCCAACCCCCACCCAAACGTGACGGCTTCACCCCTGCATTTCCATTCCCGAAGAACAGGATGACAGAAGACCTAAGGACCTACCCCTTGGGGTGGCCTTGGAACCCAAGAGCTGTCCTGCCTGAACCCCGGTTAAAATCTCCATCTCTCCCAGAGGCTGAGGCAGGAGGATCGCAGGTTCAAAGCCAGACTCAGCAACTTAACAAGGTCGTAAGAAACCCAGTGAGACCTTGTCCTAAGACAAAGAATCCAAAGGGCTGAGGAGGTGGCTCAGTAATAGAGCAGCCCTGGGTTCCATCCCTGGTACCCTAAAAAGAAGAATCTCCATCTCTCACTGCAGATGGGAAGAACACAGTGTTCACGATGACGTGACCTTCAGCCACTTCTCACCCCCCCCACTGGGCTTCAGTTTCCTCCTCTGTGGAATGGGGTCATCATAGCCCCTACTTCGTGGATGTAGAAGGGTTAATTCAATTAATTTGTGTAAAGTGCTTAAAGCAGGGCCCAGTATGGCACTCGATGATGTTAGTGGTAATCATGGCAAATGCCTCTCAGTTTCCACTATCAAGTCTTCAATGATCTTGCCACCCAAGGTCAGCCACGGATACGGCCCCCGCCCCCAGGAGGGGGGATGTGGCCAGGGACAGGCTTGAAGGAAGTGTTTGGCCACTGGTTTGGGGCTATGAGATCATCCTGAGACTCTTCTCCAGAAGGAATTGTTGCACTATATGCTAATAAGCCAACCAACATACGGTGGATTTTACAAAAGCAAAAGGCTGGCCAAATAGCGACCACTTCACAAAGCTCAGGTTCATCATCGTCTTTCGCTTTGTTTCAACCACATGGAAGCAAAGGTCAAGTTCATTTATCTTCTCTCCAGCCCTCGGCCACGGTCCTTGGGCTTGTGAGCAGGACACGCCGGGGAGAGTGGTCTCAGAAAGGAGGAGGGCTCTGTCCTGGTAGCAATGCCCTGACCCCAGCACTGTCCCCAACCCAGGACTGCGGTTCATGCCCTTGCTCTTTGACCCGTGGTGCATGATCTTCCTCTGGCTCATCACACAGACTCTCCACAGTGATGCAGCTACTTCTTCGTCTCTCCAGCCAGACTGTGTCCTCCTCGAAGGCGGGGACCCAAGTTTATTTGTCTTTATGGACCTGTAGCTGGTACCCAATTTACAGAGGAGCAGACAGTGGAAAGTCCTAGCAAGATCCCGAGAGGTGGTGTGCTCTGGAGATCATTACCGCCTTTGGATGCTCTGCAGCTGTCACAGAAGGATGAGCCTGGGGTTTGAAGTCCAGGAACGTAGCTTTTGCTTTTTGCCTTGTCTTTTACTTGTAGCTTGAGAGAGAGCTGTTTAACTCCTCCGAGCCGTCTATCTTATAATGGATGAGCTCTTTGTAAGTTTTAATTCACTTAGCATATTGGGCAGCACCATGTCAACATTAATGCTATTATTGATGTTTTTTCTTAAGCATTAGGAGTAAAGTCTGGCACATAGTAGTTGGTCAATAAACACTCACTGCATGAAAGGGGATTGAGATTCTGTGCACTTGTCGAGCTCCCTTATGGCTGACAAAGGGAACCTTGGAATGACTTGGAAGAGGACAGATCTTTTTTTTTTTTTTTCCCTTGGAGGAGGACTGTTTCATCACAAAAATGCTAGTTTTAAGAAAAAAAGACAACTCAATTTCCATTTTTCTTAGGTTAGGTGTGGGGCAGAGAGGGAATTCACCTGCCTGTCCTTGCTTAAAAATAATTTCAAGTAATTAAACCATCTGCTTGGGGAGAGGGCAGAGGGGACACTGGGAGAGTCCTCAATCAAGAAGGAAGACATGGCTCCCTAGGACGCCTGCAAAGACCAGCCTGGGAGGATGCACCAAGGCAGAGGTCGGTAGACACAGCATCTGTCTTGTCCCGTGCCCTGAATACCAATGTGTGCCGCAGGCTCAGCGGAGAGCACAGAGCACCAGCTGGGCCCTGAGGCTGGTCCCACCTTGGCTCTGCTGCAGGCCAGAGGAATCGCCTCGGGCAAGCCACTCTGCTCCTCAGCCTCCGTTCCTGCCCTGCCAAAAGGGCAGAGTGACCAACCACCCAGGCACCAGTGTGAGGATCAGTGGGGCATCGGGGAGCAGTGTGTTGGCTGTGTGGCCTGGTTCAGAGTCAGCGCTCAGTGAATGGTAGTGGTGATGTTGATGTTGATGGGTATGATGGACATGTCTTCAGTCTCCTCAAAGCTAGTATGGAGACTGCATTTATAAGATTAAGAAGGCAGTCATCCATCCATCCACCATCCACCAATCCATCCACCAATCCATCCATCTACCAACCCACCGTCCCATCCACCTATCCATCCATCCACCAATCCATCCATCCATCCATCCATCCATCCATCCACCAATCCATCCATCCATTCACCAGTCCATCCATCCATCCACCCATCCATCTATCTACCAAGCCCTTCATCCATTTACCAATCCATCCATCCATCCACCCATCCATTCACCAGCCCATCCATCCATTCACCAGTCCATCCATCCAACCATCCATCCATCCATACAACCATCCATCCATCCATCCATCCATCCATCCATCCATCCATCCATCCACCAAGCCCTTTATCCATTTACCAATCCATCCATCCATCCATCCACCCACCCATCCATCCATCCATCCATCCATGCCCCCACCCACCCATCCACCAGTCCATCCATTCATCCACCCACCCATCTGTTAAATACATATTAAACCCCTTACGAGGTGCCAAGGCCCCCAGAGGATGTTGGAGTCCAAGAGATAACTTAGACTCCATGCCTACTGTCTAGGGATCAGAGTCTCAATTCAGCATCTGTTGATGTTCCTTGGCAGAGATGAGCCTTCTTTAGGGTCCCTACAGGATGTCAAGTACCTCGTCCTCTTACCAGCCTCGTCCTGTTATCTAGAACATGCCACAGTTTATCACGGTTGTCACTGCCTTTCTGTTTAATGGAGTGTCAGATTTGAAGGGCAGGGACCATTTCATTCATGCACATGTTTGTGTTTCTCTTTGGTCACCCCCTGTCCTCCTTGGTACTAGTAGGGCCTTGTGCTGGTTCTT